GTTGTCTCGATAATATTAATGTCGCAACTCCTGTCGACACTTTTTGTGTATTCATGTTTTACTCTTCTGCGAAACAACTGACTATAACGCATAACCCATCATGGTCACTGATAATGCGTGCATTACTATGGATGCGTTTTGGAAGCTTTCCAGCCTAGAATGACGGAAAACTTGAGTGTGAAGAATTTGGAGAAGATCGTCTTTGGGGGTAACCGCAACTCGTTAACTTTCTTCTCTGGCAGAATGCTAATTCCGAAGCGCAGTGGAGGCGATGCATCCGATAGAGTAGGCCCATGCTTCATGGTAGATGTGCGGTTCGTGGCCCTTGGCTATCTCCCCACAACGTGGGTGAGTTGAGCATTTGCAATGTGAGGTCTGGCGTGGCATTCGGAGGAGAAGGATCTGAGATCGTTGCTGACGAATTTCTTCGCGACCCCCAAAGCCCAGCCAAAGACCGGCATATGTCGCGCTGATTTCGCAAGCTATGTCTTCATAGCATTGAAAAGTGGCTTCCCGAAACGCCCACCTAGCGAATCCAATAAAAAAGATTGATCGATTCTCAGAAAACGGCCGTGTTGGGCTGTTGTTTGGGTGAAGCTGGTGGGTCTTCTAGCGCGAGGCAGCATAAAGCACGTGCCGCATGCTGTTGTCGCAGTGGGACTCTTGACTCATTTCCACCGGTGACCGATTAGGGAAGACTGCTTTGCCATCCCAAAGAATGCGGTTTTCCCAGGTGAGTCAGGGCAGTTGCTTCCCGCTCATGGTCGGCTCCTTCCATTAGGTTTTCATCCAGATTCATTCTGCAGCAGGCCTTGCCACATACTGATGGTGTTTGCTGGTGGCATCGGCTGCGCTCTGGTATCTGCTTACAATACTCCTCGGTAGCAGCGGCGGAAGCACTCCCATTTGGGTGCAAGGGCCGCTCCGTCAAAATCCGCATGCCCAGTATCGAGGTTGTATTCATAGCTCGTTTCCGTCTTTGCCTTACAATTGGTCCACTCCCTCAAGTACCCTATCACTAGCAGAGACTGAGTCAAACACAGCGCTGTATCTTTCTGTTGTCCTCCTTGCTACAGAGTTGATTTGAGGATCGTAATTCATAATCATTCATTATAATCACTGACCTATTTTTATTACTAGTTGATTAACCCGTTACTGGCTTGCGCTTCCGAAGCCACGCTGTTAAGGCACTTGAAGCATACTCCAACATACTAACGTATTTCGCAATGAAACGGTCTTAGACGGAAGGAATTTGAAATTGAATAGAAATGCGACAGCAATTATGAGACAACCCAATATATGTGGTCAAACCGTATAATCAACACCCGTCACGGCGAATAGTGGCGGTATTGGCCGATGTCAGACTTTGCGAATCCAACGATTCGCTACTAGCGATTCGCAAAATAAACCATTGACTAATCGCGCGATCCGCAAATCCGAATCGCCGTCGTGCGACTGAATGGCCGACTGCGGATGCGACTTCGAAGGAACTTCCTACGTTGATTTCTGGGGCATCAGTCCCAAGGCGTTAGCGTGTTAGATAAGCCACGCTCCTGATAATCGTTGCAGCAAGAGCAGTAGAGATGGTGAGGGGTAATTGTGGTGCTTCATTTGTATGGTAAGGGCATAGTTTCGCGCGAAATGCGATCCTTCCATACAGTCCATCAACAGATGGTATCCAGATTGCTGGCATGAAGCTAGCTATACAGAAACTCATCCAAATACTCTGTCTTCACATCCTCCCAAGCTGCTGGTGTAGAGGAGAGTCTTATTAACACGTTGACGACAGCGTGACGCGGTAACGCGTCCCACTTCGCGCACCTCGGGGGACATTGGGACGCGATAACGCGTCCCACCCAAGTCATCTTTTTTTTTGCAGTTGTGCGACTTAATCCTAAGGTCTTTGTACTCATTCTATGGGCCATATATTAGCATACTCAAAAACCACACGGCTCACAAAAAGACCAAATATTAGTTACCAGTTTTGCTTCGCCCGCTATCGCGCGCATCACACGGCAGGCTTTAGCGAAACTGGAGAACCCATGGAGTATCAGCATGAGATACTCCATTAACCATCCCACTACTGACTGTGTTAAACCCTCCACAGTTTCACTGAAGCTCATCGAGAGTGCGCGTGATAACGTCTGGAGCTGAACTGGTATATTGATCGTAACTCTGTAAACATCCAGCATTTTTCTTCAATCATGATAGTTTAGCGGTGAATAGGATTTTCTTGTCGTCAATCTCAAAATAAAATGAAATATGCCTAGGTGTCTAAGTATGAGCTAATGCTTATCATTCATTTAAATTCACCATTATTTAGAACCCCGAATAAATTAGCGGTTTAATGAGTTTGGGTTTTCTTAATAGTGCATTAGAAATTAGACTTATCATTTGCTGAAGACTTCTTCAGGTTTATGCAGTCGAATTCTATTAAGTAAGCTGGTTCTATCGAAACAATGTGCACGTACTACAGTCTGCAAATAGGAACGCTCTAGTGTCAACGCTGCGTAACGGAATTGACGACATCAGCGTTCTGGCGTACCTTATCGGCCCTTATCAATCGTTGTCAGATCCTGGTACCTACCAACAATGTCCCCGTCCCACCCCACATAACACTTGTAGGAATGGTTGCTCTGGTGTCAACGCGAGCCAGGTAACGGAATCGACGTTCAGCGTTTTGGCGCGCCTTATCGGCCCTTATCAATCGTTATCAGATCCTGGTACCCACCAACAATGTCCCCGTCCCACCCCACATAACACTTGTAGGAATGGTTGCTCTGGTGTCAACGCGAGCCAGGTGCAGGCGTTCTGCGCGCGCCAATATCAGCCAATTATCGTTGCTATCGGCTTCCATCAGTGCTGCCACTCAATGTCCCGGGACCGCCCACATAACACTTGTAAGTATAGGCCGCTCTCTTCTCGCATTATGAACTGGCAAAACGGAAAACTGGCGATGGCTCGCTTCTAGCCCCTTCTTATCAGCTACCTATAGTCGTTATCAGTTTCACTATCACGGTACAAGCTTGTGGGTACCCATCCCACCCCCTACAACAATATGTAAGAACACTGTAGCGTATCGTTACCTGTGACTCGAGCTATGAAATTGTCCCGTCAAACTACACACACCACACACCCCACACACCGCACACACACACCGACACCCCACACACAGTCCCACACCCCACAAACACCCACACACGCCACACAGCACAACACACATCACACACAGCCACACACACAACACACACTACACGCTCCACCACACGATCTGCACACCGCCTGCCACACACGCCACACACGCCACACACAGCCAGACAACCCCACACCACACACCCA